TGGGTGTGGATGCGGGTGTGGGTGTGGGTGTGGGTGAGTGTGGGGTGTGGGTGTGGGTGTGGGTGTGGGTGTGGATGCGGGTGTGGGTGTGAGTGTGTGTGTGGGTGGATGGCTGGTGTGTGGGTATGGGTATGGGTGTGTGTGTGTGTGTGTGTGTGGTTGTAGTTTCAACGAGTATTTACACCCACACCCACACCCAATCTCAAAAGGTTCAAAAGTGCAAATAGATTTGGCATTGTTCTAATGTAGTCATTCCCTGATTATGTCTAAAATAAGAGCTCAAACGTGGTAGAAAAAGTGGAGAAGTACCCTTTTTATACATATATACTGCTTTGTCGCATACGACCGAATCAACATTGTAATAATAATTTGAATTGAGTTTATTGAAAGGAGAAAAATTCTAATGGCATATATCCCGGTTTTTAAGTGTTCGGCTGCTATATGAGACTTATTTTCGAAAATCGTTTATTCATTTGGGTGCGAATATTTGGAACAATGATCAGCATCATCAATATCTCGACATGCCATACCATGTTTGCAGATTATCCTTCGAGAATGACCCATTGCTCCGTACTTTCGTTCATCAGGATGTGAATACTTTGAACAGTGTCCAGGATAATTTTTATCGCGACAAGCAGTACCATGACGACATTCTATTTTATGTCGACCCATGTTATTCGAAGAGCTAGCTCGATGTTCATGAGGATGTGAGTACTTGGAACAATGTCCAGGATCATTTTGATCGCGACAAGCAGTCCCATGACGACATTCTATTTTATGTTGACCTATGTTATCAAAGGAACTAGCGCCATATTCATCAAAATGCGAAAACTTTGAACAGTGGTTAGCATCATTTTTATCACAACAATTGAGTCCATGTCGACAAGCAATTTTTTCGTCCTGTTCTTTATGTCGATCATTATCATCGCTTTTGCCTACATAGAAGAAAGATAATAATGAAGTCTATTATTTATGAGATTTCAACTAGACAGTAAGCTACTTACCTGGCTGCTCTGTAAAAGTTATTTCAATATGTTCACCATGAGAATACTTAACTCGATGTTCGTACGACGTGTTTTGGCACTTCTTTTGTTCATTACATGGAATGAGAAAGGCAGGCTTACCTATATGTCGATACTGCGCTCGATGTACCGGATCGTCGAGTTTGGAACATGAATTTTTTGATGTACACTCAGGCACGTTACGAGGAAAATGTGTGAGATGAGGTTCATTGTCTTGTTTGTTACACAATTCAGAGAATCGACACGGATGAGAAAACTTTTCAATGTGATCACTTTCATTTTGTTGGAGACAGTTGATTGAATCAGGACAGGGTTCGAGTTTTTTTCCTTTGAACTTAGAGCCGACCCAGTTTGCAAAACGACCAAGCTTGGAAGAAGTTTCTGGCTTGGTTGCCGTTACCGGTTCTGTGGTGGGTTCAGGTTGTGAACGTGCTGGACTAATTGATCGTTCCTTGTTCACAGTGGTACGATTTTCGCGCTTGAAATTGTTGTCCACAGATGGATGCAAATCTGATACTTTGCTAAAGCAAATCGTGAAATTTCGAATAGGTACTTTTTCTGAGCCAGCACTGACATAAATATAGTTCAACTTTGTCATATTAAGATCTCTCTTGGAAAATGTGTGCGAGATCGTTTGGCAATTGTAAATACTATTCGGTCCTGCATGTGAAAGTGTTACTTGACCATTGTTCATTTGAATTCGTAGACAATATGTCAGAAAATCATCAACATTGCAGCCACGATGAAATGTATTAGAACCTTTGGCAAATTGTAAATTGTGCTTGACAATAAAATGTTGATCTGGTTGACCACAATTCAGATATGAATATGATTCATGATAAGCCGGTGTTGTTGTCAAAGGTGTCTTGGCGACATAGCATACTAAACACCGAATGCGTTCTGATATGTCCTTACGACCAATGAGTTGATCTGAAAGTGTGATCATCACATCACCATCCATTGATTTCCAATAAATATAGACATCGTCGGAAGGAGGACGTTTCCTATGTTCCATCTGATATTGTTCATATGCTTTTGATATTGTCAAGGGTAAAAGTATATGCTCTCCAAACTCACTTGGCGGTACAGTAATAAAAGTGGCATGTAACTGTCGCGAACATTTTGCATTCTTCTCGAATTTGTCGATCAGTGTTTCAACTATATGTTTATTGTACTTCTTTCTCCCACCTTCATTGAGTTTTACATTCCCCAGATCAACTGTATGATCAGTAATCTTGAGCGAATCACGAAAAATCTTCTTGGCCGATTCTTTAGCTTCTGTCGATAGTGATTCAAAAACATTTTTCGGCATATAAACTTCTTCGATATAATCGAGAGGAACCAATGTAGGTAAATGTCCTTCGAATATTTTATGCGATTCAACATGGTTCCAATATTCTAGAACTTTTTTCAAATTGACATCGATTGTGTCATCTTTCACACCTGCTATTACCATTAGTTCTGCTGCAGCCGCGTCCTCATAGCCTGGTATTGAACAATGCAACTTTGATTCATCAAATTGTTTGATTCGTCCATCATCTGTACCTGTATCCTTGATCCAAGGCCTATATTTGAAAGTGCTTCCACTATGTACTGATGTTCCTGCTTGAATAGAGAAGTTTGCATCAGGATGACGCATCAGTTCCGCCTTGAAAATGATAACGATGTCACCATAATGGAAACCACGATGTGGGCCAAGAATACTAAATATATGTTTATCAGTACCCAATAATTTATCTACATGATATCCAATGCCAGTCAAGTTCTTCATCAGATTTAATGAAGCTTTGGCCATTCCTATCGAACATTTACGAACGTCCGTAACATCTTTCTCTATTAGATTACGTAACTGCCTCTCTTTTGAAGATATAATGTCATTGTAATCTTCATGAGATTTTGTCTTTTTCGCCTCTCTAGGACGCATACTAGTTAGGTCATCCGATTCCGGATGAGTCGTATCTGCCTTGTCGTATTCAAGAGACACAATAGCTTGGATGTATTCCTTTGCAATACGTTCAATGTCTGGATTTCGAATTCGATCAAAAATTGATCGGATACGCTTATGCTGTAGGACACTGTCAACCACCGAACGAGACCTCGTCAAACGTTCCATATGATCACGTGACATCACATGACCGTGAACTAGTATTGATTCGAAAATTGCATTGGAACATCGATGAACTGCTTGTAATCCTCGAATCCATGCAAGTATTTCTGGTGGAATCGACAGTGTGTGTCCGAAATGTTTTCTTACATAATCTGCAACTGTTGTATACATTGTGATTTGATTTTGAACAAAATCCACCCTATCATTTAATCCCCAGCTACGAATCGCACCACTACAATCAAAACATTGATTGTGTCGATATTGCATGATATGCTTAGGATCATGTCGATCTCGACATTCGTTGTCTCGATACTTACACAAACGACGTATATCGTTCATTTCTGGATGCGTAAATGAATTCAAATGATCCTCTTGATTTTTTTTCGAGCATCGGTCTCCCTCGTAGCATAGTTGACGTGCAACATGAATTGTTGTTTTCCAGTGTACATCCACTGTTTGATGACATCTGCGACCAAATCGACAAACATGGGAAAATTGAAGACAGTGATTTTGTACGTTTACAGGAAGTGACTTAATGTTAGTTGATTCTGATAATAAAGTATAATGTTGACAATGAAATGGTGTAAATGGACAAGGTGGTAGAAATGGATGGTTTCTGTCTATCATGTGATTTTCATTATGAAAACGACTACAAAAATGAAGACTATCACACATTAGTGTGCAATGGCGATACTTTTGACAATGATTAGACGTTCCTATTTTGTACTCCTTGCATTGTTCACCATCTTCACATAATGGTAGATGTCGAAACTCTTTCAAATGATCACCCTTCATATTTTTGCATAGTTCACGATCCTGACAATACGGTGGATGTTCGAATTCTTGAGCGTGGATTTCATCTGTAAGTAATAGTTTACATTCACCACGAAATTTACATTCACTTCGATGTCTGAACCAAAGCAAATGATCTTCATCGTTCACTGGACATTTGGCCACATCTGTCAGAGGACACAGAGGTGGATGTGAATATTTCTTACAATGGTGATCGTTGCGTATATCCCTACAGTTGCCGCCGTGGTGACATGGTTGCAAGTAACATATTCGAATGTCACTCAACATGAGCTGTTTTCCAGGTATTCCTTTCAATATTCGACGTGGGCCAACCATCATATCTTCCATTTTGTATGTGCTTGGTTTTACTCTCATATCATGAAGAATTTCTCTGAATGGTTGATAATTTCCATCTGGGTTATGTCGTCTGCCTGCATTGTGATCATCGCGAATGGCAAAATGGATGCACTTGAAAAATCCAGCAAATTGTTCGATAACGGACTTAAAAATGAGTGATACGTGTTTCGGCGGATTCTTGAAAGCGCCACAACCCAGAGCAGAAAGAACAAGACAATCATGTTTGTGATGATAAGCAATACTAAAAATATTTTCAATTTTCTTGCGCAAAGCAAGAGAATCTTCAGGGACGAAACGATTATTCGTATTCACTTTCGCCCTTGGATCAGCAGCCATTGCAATTGCACATACATCGTACATAGGTTCGCTCATGAAAGCATAGCCTTCATTTTCTGGATCACGAAAAAGATTCAATCCTGATGTATAGATTGCACCAAACTCATCCATCGAATACATTTTTTGATTTTGAGATATGGGTACTTCTTTGCATTGCGAATTACAATAGAAACGCGGCGTTGGTTTTCCAAAATCGAGATCCATATCAAGACTTCGAGAATAATTCGAACGACGAAACATATTTTCTTCTTGCGCTCCATCTCCTTTACGATATCCACCACCTGGTGAGTCGGCATTAGCCATATTTAGAACCACAGGGCAAAGTTTGTCTTCGTTCATCTTCTCAGACTTTTTTATCAAACGCTGATAACAAAGAAGACAATCTTCATTAACAACTTCGACTGATGTTTCCTTGTAGGGAGTAGCTATTGCATCGAGCCATGGCTTGGTCATACCAGTTTGCAATTTCGATTGATGATTATATACAACTGTTTTTAATTGATCGGTTTTAAGCTTAATTTGTTTTTCGGCTACATAATAAAAACCTCTGTTCACAACACCAATCGTATTTAACATGACTGTCATTCTCAATAAGTGCCGTTTTTTATTGCACTCTGATGGACTAATTTCAGACAGATTATTATTTTTGTTTTTATCATCATAAAGCCGGAATTGTTCTAGAAACGACTCAGGACTCCATTTGAAGCGAAATATTCTATGTTGAGGATTACTGACGAAAACCATGATATCATTCTCGTACTCAGACATTTCAGTTTCGTACCAGTTGAGAGCATTGATCTCCAGATGTTCTGGATTCTCTGCTGGTTTGTATACTGTCATCGTTATCGTTTCACCATTTATTTCGATGGTGCTCAATTTTGATAATTGATGAAAAAGAGATTCATCTGAAATTTCGACAATAGTATAACCTGCACCTATTGTGACATGTTCCACTTTGCCAGAGAATGTGGTGTGGTTTTTTATCGAAGACGTATGCCAGCCTTCTGACCAGGGTTTCAAAATTAGACGGCATGTAATCATGGCTTTCTGATTCACAGTTTTTCCATTGAATTCAATCGAATGAATCGATGCAAATTGTCGTGCTCGACCACATGTCACAACGACAGCACTTGCAACTTCGGAGTTGTATTCGATATAAAACGACGAGTTTGGTACGCTTCCCACTGGGATTAAACGAATAACCGCTTTTTCGAAACTATCTGAAGTAGTATTAAGAGGTAAATCTTCAAAAAAGCGGCATTCGCCTCCGAAATACACTGTTGCAGTATGACCACCATTGGTAGTAAATGTTCGGTTGGGCATACTGGTAATCATTTCTTTTGATACAGTTGAAACTATTCGAAATATATTTGGGAACTGAACACAATGCTTCTCACATTTAATTACATCAATATTTTTGTATGCTTGTTCCCATCCTTGTCTTACATAATCGGTAAAATCGTTCGGACTTTTACTATTGATAACGACATAAGAAGTTAGTTGTACTTCAGCAACAAACTTGATTTCATGATGAGCTTTTCCACCAAGCAGCACTGATTGAAGAATGTTAATGAAACGCTCCTTCTGGCTCTTGGACTTTAATGACACGATGCCAACACCCAATTCTTGATTACATTTAGTACTAAGAATCTTTTCTCTATGTCTCTCTCTCAAACAATATTGGATTTTCTCTTCCAATTCTTTATCATCCATATTCTCTATGGGCAATTTCGTTATGTATACATCAAAAGACTCGGCGGGACCTGAATGGATAAATCGTGAAAAATCGGTTTGCATTCGTCAATACTTACCTGTGTTGACCTCATTGAAGCCTAATCGATCTTGAGGCTTTTTTCTTCGAGTGGATAAATTGCAATCGTCTCCATGATCATCATCTGGATAATGCAGAGCTGTGTGCGCATCTTTCCGGTATTGCCTTGATGATGCAGTACTTCGAGCTTGTTGTCTTGTTTCATAGCGATGGTGACCTTTCGGTTTTGACGCATAACTTTCATTATCGGATCTGTCACTTGGTGAACGTTGTGAGTCAGTTGCAGATGGACTTCGTGAATACGATCGTCGTTGATATTCCTTTTTATCTTGGGAATCACGCCGTCTGCTAGAGGATTGTGTTTTCCAATCGTTTCGTCGATCAGTGTTAATGGGTCTAGCTTTTCCGCATCTATAGCATTCCTTATCTCTATAATCATTATCAAAATGACATTTCGAACAGGTCCAATCCTGCTTATCCTGCTGATGCGGCGATCGCAACGAGGCGTTTTCTCGAGATGAATCTAAATCATGAGAATTTCGATCATGTAGTTTAATGATGTTTTATGTTGGTGACAACACCACAGAATATCGACTCTCTGACTAGCTCTCACTCTTGTTCTTTTCCATGTGTTCGTTCGGTATCGACAAGTTCTAGAAAGGCACCTATTAGTTATTGAGTTCAAATTTAGTACTCAAGACGAAATAAACAGATGCAACACGGATATATAAACTATTTTCTGTTCGATCGAGTATTCGGGTCTTGTTCGATCGATTCAGATTCGTAATAGGAATAGTCATATCTGACTTTTCTTGTAGCTGTCGCAGAAACTAATCCTGCCAATTGTTCATTGTGTCGACGTATTTATAAAAATAAACTAGACTTGAGTATACATCAACGGGACTGCACTAACAAACGACTTGCATATTCTTTAGATGATTCTGCAATGAAAATCATTTCTCATAAGGGATGTTGGTGTGGATATGAATGTGGATCTTAATCTGATACCTACACCCACACCCTGGCTTCACTAGTATTGGCTATCTGTCTGTCTGTCTTCCCAGGAAACATATCACAAAGGATTGAGTTCTCAAATAATCATAAGGAGGAGAGTCATTTTTAAACATTTTTCATATGGCTCTAATCACATAGGTTTTCCTATGAAATCGAAACGGCGCATGTTTCTTGGTCTCAGGATCACCCATTTGACTGCAACAATGGAATATTTCAGTTGTAAGCATATGTTTATCTGGTGAGCATGCGCGTGTGACTTTTTATTTGACAGCACCAACACGCAAAGGGCCTTTCTTCTCCGTCTAGTATTTTCATGAAAACGCTCTCTTTGTCAGCCATATTATACTTATGACGAAGAAACCGTTAAGTAGTCAAAAATCATCAAAAAGAAAATACTGTACTCTATTTCAATGTTCTATCGTTTGTCAAACATTCTCTACACTATACTCACCGCGCTTCGAATTCAGCAATTCGTTTCGCTCTAGGCATAATCACAATGAAGTCAACGAAATACTTTAGATTGATACGTTCCTACCTTTCTTTTCTTTTTTTGAACCTGATTCATGTTGTTCTTTCCTGTTTGAAGTTGTTGAATGGTGACGATCTCTATTATCGTCATCTGAGTAATCTGGATTTGCGGATCGCTCTTTTGAGTATTGTCTTGATGACGCAGTTGATCGATCTTGTTGTCTTGTTTCATAGCGATGGTGATCTTTCGGTTTTGATGTATAACTTTCATTATCGGATCTGTCACTTGGTGAATGCTGTGAGCCAGTTTCAGATGAACATCGTGAATACGATCGTCGTTGATATTCCTTTTTATCTTGGGAATCACGCCGTCTGCTAGAGGATTGTGTTTTCCAATCGTTTCGTCGATCAGTGTTAATGAATCTAGCTTTTCCGCATCTGTAGCAGTCCTTATCTCTATAATCATTATCAAAATGACATTTCGAACAGGTCCAATCCTGCTTATCCTGCTGATGCGGCGATTGCAATGAGGTTTTTTCTCGAGATGAATCTAAATCATGGGAATTTCGATCATGTAGTTTAATGATATTTTATGTTCGTGACGACACTACAGAATGTCGGCTTTCTAACTAGCTTTCTCTTATTCTTTTAGAATAATCGGTATAGTTACTGATCTGAACATTTTACATAGTGTGTCTGTGCTAGTGTAGAGACGAGTCATATTCGTCGTAACCTGACTGTATACGAAATCAGTCGATATCTATAATTTGATTGCCTCTCTTTTTTCAAAAATCTGTATTTCATACTGCATGTGCTCAATTGAGGAAATACCTTTACCCTCATCTGAACACAACTGAGATCATTTGTTTTTTTCAGATTCAATTCCTACATACACTGTATTCACCTCGCTTCAGATTCAGCAATTCGTTTCGCTCTAGGCATAATCATAGTGAAGACAACGAAATACTTTAGATTGATGCGTTCCTACCTTTCTTTTCTTTTTTTGAACCTGATTCATGTTGTTGTTTCCTGTTTGGAGTTGTTGAATGGTGACGATCTCTACTATCGTCATCTGAGTAGTCTCGATCTGCGGATTGCTCTTTTGAGTACTGCCTTGATGACGCAGTTGTTCGAGCTTGTTGTCTTGTTTCATAGTGATATTGACCTTTCGATTTTGATGAATGACTTTCATTATCGGATCTGTCACTTGGTAAACGCTGTGAGTCAGCTACACATGGACTTCGTGAATACGATCGACTTCGAGATCTTCGCTCGTTAGACGAATGATCTCGTCTTCGAGGTAGGCGATCTCTTCGACCCTGTTTTTGATTTTGTTTAGGTCGATGTCCTTTTTCGCAAATATAGCATATGGAATTCCTTTGATCGTTGGGTGATTGGCATTTACTACAAGTCCACTCTCGTTTTACAGACGTTGGCGATAATCGAGGCGGAGTTCCTTCACGAGATGAGTCTAAAATTGTTTAATATCAATAAAAGAATAGTGAATACTAACGCATTCCTTAATTACTGCGATTAATGTCGGTATCCTTATTCTCTATTTCTTATTCTATCAGTTCAGCCATCTCAGACATGTTATCATGAAGAGGTGAAAAAAGAGATTCATTTAAACATTGTCTGTGAAACGACTGACTTGTATTGACTCTAATTTGGATATACCTGAGCAGAGTGTGAGATTAACACAGCCAATGTTCTCATTAGAAACAATCATGCGCTGTTTTCGTTGTTTCCTACAATGTATCAGAGCATATCCAGTTGCGATGGATTTCGAATATCATGCTTTAAAGAATTCAATAGTAAATTGATTATGCATCGATACTGGCCACTATTCAGTCTGGGAACTGTCTGACATAGATATTTCATGAATTCATGACTGCGATTATTATAAGGGAGAAAAACAGATTTTAAAATTTCAAAAGATTTCAAGGGATTCCAGAAGATTTTTAAAAAATTTGAGGGATTTTGGAGAATTTGGAGGATTCACCGCAACTGCAATTAATGAAGCTGTTCACTAGTTCAGCTTTGGGGAGCTGGAGAGGATAGCCATAGGTCCACAAGAGCTATCCTATGCAGATACCCATAGGTGCACAAGGGTTTTCCGATGAGTTACCTATAGGTCCTCAAGGGTTACCGTACGGAGGCACCGATAAAAAAATGTATGACAACTCCAGCTTAGTTTGCTGAGGTACAGCTGGCCGTTCAGCTCTGGTTCACGTATGCTGAAATTGTCTAGCAGTTCTTCGAATCAATATGCGAGCTGTGCAGTTGAAGCTGTCATACACCTAATGATGAATCGATCTTTGAC